CGAGAGTGACCGACTGAAAGGGAACGTCTCGGTTACGTATGGTAACCCTCGTTCCCTGAAGGAGGGAACGGGGACGTCACGTCCCGTCGCCACAGCTCCTGTACCACCGCTGAGCGGCCGGGTCACCGGCTCGGCTCCTCAGCGAAAACCTGAATATGCACTGCATCTGCTGCCTACTTATACTCACGCTGTGATCAGCAGCAGCTGGATGCAATAATCGCATGCCAATGTGCATTGGCTTGTTTAGTTTACACTCGAAGTGGATTGGTCTCTCTAAGCGAGATCCCAATTTCGTCAGTCATCCGACGTGACGTCTCCGTTCCCTCCTTCAGGGAACGAGGGTTACCATACGTAACCGAGACGTTTCTGGTGCAGCAAATCAGCATATTAAATTGATTTCTGAAGTATCATGTGACACTGAAGACTGGAGTAATGATGCTGAAAATTCAGCTTTACCATCACAGGAATAAATTACATTTTAAAATACATTAAAATAGAAAACAGCCTTTTAAATTGTAAAAAATATTTCACAATATAACCATTTAGATAACCACATTTAACCATATTTCACAATATAACCTTATTATATAACCATTTAGATCCTTTTAGAAGGATTGAATATATATATACACACACATATATATGTATGTGTATATATATATATATATATATATATATTTATATACTGTATATATAATATTATACATTCAAGATCCCTAAGAGGAACATTAACAGAATTTAAAGAATCTTCACTTCCACTCAACACTCTTAAAAATAAAGGTGCTTCAAAAGGTTATTCACAGCGATGCCATAGAAGAACCATTTTTGGTTCCACAAAGAACCATTCAGTCAAAGGTTCTTTAAAGAACCATCTCTTTCTTAGCTTTTTATAATCCGAAGAACCTTTTTTCACCACAAAGAACCTTTTGTGAAGAAGAAAGGTTCTTCAGATGTTAAAGATTCTTTATGGAACCATTTAGACAAAAAGGTTCTTCTATGGCATCGTGAAGCACCTTTATTTTTAAGAGTGAACCACCAGGATTTCCTGTACACAGTTCCACTTCCTGTCTATTGTTTAAGCCAAAGTTCAAGGCGCAAATAATCCAGGAAACTTTTCTGCGACGGAAAAGTTCTCAGCTTCAGCGGAAAAATTAACTCACAGAATAACTTTTATTTTACTAGAACTAAATGTTTATTGAAAACTAAAACATAAATTTGGCAAATATAAATATTTATCTGCTGTTGAGTGGAAGGTAAAAACGAAGCCTACATTTTTCCACTGTGATCGTCTCTTTAAAACAAACAGCACTTCATTATTTGCTTGTATTAAGGAGCGAAATCTCTTCCACTCACTCCTGAACACAGTGGCAGTCAGGAGCAGCGTTTCCCCACAGGCTGAGTGTCTATGTTATAGGCAGCTGATGGGACTCAACGGAGACCACAGCACTTTTGAGTGAAGTACTATGGGACATTTGCCAGAAGTTTGTCTCATTTATGAATAATAAACATCTCTAACAACAACAAACATTTCTACCCTGCTGAAATGTCTTCTTTGCAAATTAATAACAGTTAATGGGCCATAAACATTTCAAATGGCACAATTATCAGTAGTATTAACCAATCAGTTTTCCCTTTTTTAGCCTCTTTAGCAGTCAAAATGGTGTTGGTGCTGTTGAGCTTAATTGGAGGATTTGCAAATCTCTTCCTCTCTCTCTCTCTCTTGTTAATGTGTTCCACTGCCAAACAATGACACCATTGGGTTTTAAATTAGAAAGCCGTAACGTCAATGTGAAACTGGGGAAAAGATGGTCAAGTGGGGAAATTCTACAAGACAAATATCTACTCTATATCTCCATGTTACACCAAGGCAAAAAGGTGTAGTAAATTTGTTGACAGGTGGTCCTGGTGTCACCGATGGTTCCAGACCACCCTGTTGTTTTTTCAGACAGGCAGATGATGTGTTAACAGCCAAGCAGGAACGTCTGCCTGTCAGGAGCCTGTTGGCCAAAACCATTGGGATGCTTACAAAGTCTCAGACATAAAGGCAGCGTTGCCTTACTGCGAGGGCTGAATAAACAGGCACTGATGTATGAGTGGTAGCAGGGTCCATAATGAACACTCACTCAGCACCAAATGCAAGTAAAGATTTGGCCAGAACATAATACATAAGGAATAGTTTCAGTTGATTTGTAAGATTAAAACACTGCACTGTTGCTGAAGTGACGTGCACTATTCAAATGAATGTGTTCGCATAATAAGCCATCAAAACTAAAATATAAGAAACAAAATCATGATGTGTCGTAAACATGATTTTGTGAATGATTAGTGTGGCTAGTGACAATGTTCTGTGCTATAAAATAAAGAACTGCAAAATATACACTAAATAAAAATTCATCAAAAATTCAATTAAAAAAATAAATTAATCATAAATAAATGAAAATTAAATAACAAAAAGTATTTTAAAAGAGTTAATAAAATAGCTAAAAAATCAGGCAGGTGTGGCAAAAAGTTGCCCTCTTTGTGTGTGTGTGTGTTTGTGTGTGTGTGTGTGTGTTATGAAGAGCAAATTCTCACCTCTCCGTATAAGATGGTTTGGCGAGTCCTGAGTCAAAGATAGAACAGCTAATAAATCATTGCCAAAAGCCTCACCCTCTCCCCAGCACCAGCTGGACGATGTTCTTAGCCCAGGAAAACAGTAACCCAGGTCCTGCTCAGCAGGACAAAACATTATGCAATAATCAGACAAAAACATCTAACAAAGATCCTGCTATTCATTGCTCTGTTAAAACTGGAGCACATCCACTCTTCATGTGATGACACTTGAGATGCATGCGGTCCCTGTCTCCTCTAGGCAACCTCATGAGATACTTATGAACCAGGATTCTGGAGCTTTTGCAGATATTTCCAGCATCTTGGATGTTATGTGAGAAAAATAACCAAGCAGCTAGGAGCAAAAAATCAGGCAGGTGTGGCAAAAAGTTGCCCTCTTTGTGTGTGTGTGTGTTTGTGTGTGTGTGTGTGTGTGTGTGTTATGAAGAGCAAATTCTCACCTCTCCGTATAAGATGGTTTGGCGAGTCCTGAGTCAAAGATAGAACAGCTAATAAATCATTGCCAAAAGCCTCACCCTCTCCCCAGCACCAGCTGGACGATGTTCTTAGCCCAGGAAAACAGTAACCCAGGTCCTGCTCAGCAGGACAAAACATTATGCAATAATCAGACAAAAACATCTAACAAAGATCCTGCTATTCATTGCTCTGTTAAAACTGGAGCACATCCACTCTTCATGTGATGACACTTGAGATGCATGCGGTCCCTGTCTCCTCTAGGCAACCTCATGAGATACTTATGAACCAGGATTCTGGAGCTTTTGCAGATATTTCCAGCATCTTGGATGTTATGTGAGAAAAATAACCAAGCAGCTAGGAGAAAATACTGCTAGGATCTGAGAAGAATCATATAGCTCAAGGTCTGACTCGGTACACACGTTTAGCTTGTACGCTCTGGCATCTTTACAGATTTAAAGGGCTGCAAAAACAAACCAGTCATCTAAAGTGCGAGATTTAGCGGGAAGGGAAAAAATAATCTTCTAAGGGATTTAAAGGTGTTGATACAACCCCGGAGAGGAAAAGCACAGCAAATATGTGTTGAATCAGCTCTATTGAAACCATTGTTGCTCAGGGAATTTATAGACTTCTGCACAACTTGATGAGAGAAAATTTCTGAAATGTCAAGCCTAAAATTCACAAGACTGCTCACATTATCTGTCAGTGGTGGGCACTTAAAAAAAAATTATATTATATGTGTGTGTATGTATGTATATATATATATATATCTTGAAAAATCAGCAGTGTATCAAATACTTATTTGCCCCACTGTATATATGTATAGACAATTTATCAAGTACAACAAGGCTTCTTCAGTGGAAACATATCTAGAATAAAAGCAAAAACAGACTTTTGGAGCTAATTATTAAATTAAAAATGGCTTTTAACAGATTAACTACAAAATGAGCACAAAGGTGGAGCTACATTTTAGTTTACCCACCCAAACATGCAAGCAAATGCAATGTATTGTAATGTGATAGAATCGTTCCACTTCTCATTACTGCTTTTTATTTATTTGCACCAAATATACTGCCAAACAGTAACTGTAACAGTCTGTTAAGAATATTGCATGACCAAAAGGCTTACAAGTAAAATTAGGAACCCTTTCTAAAGCCTAATCCAGATTACTGTTTCAAAACATCGCTAAACTCATATTAGACACAATAAACTGAGCAAAACACAGGCTTAACATTATAAACAAGCCTGTACTGCTGCACTAGAAGATGTCTGGCTGGTTTGTGTTTTATGGGCATTGGGCCATTTCGGGTTTAATGTAGTAGATGATGTAATCTCCAATTTTTCATGCGTTCTTTTCCTGAAGCTTTTCACGCCCCCCAATCAAAATATCTGGACACATTGTGATGATGTGAAGCAGGATCTCCTTAGAGGTCAGGTTTACAGGGGCTCTGCTGCTGATAAATCTGCCGTTTCCTCTGAGCGTTAGGGTGTCTGGTGTCAACAAAGAAATTTCTACCTTTGAACAGCTGCCCGGGGAGTTCATGGTGGGCTGATGGCCAGACGCACACTCCTTAAAGTTGTGACGGCCCGTGTAACCAGAAAATCCTGCCAAGCTATTCTGTACCCTTCCGCCCACAAACAGTCCATGCTATAAAGAGCCTTAAATAAAAGATCTGCTGTCAAAGCACATGATATCACCTTAGAAAGACCTTTCTATGACCTGCCAAAGCACATGCACACTGTAAAAAATGATATGATGAAAAAGCCATGACAACTTATGTTTTTAAGTTGCTTTAACTCACAAAAAAATTATTTAAGCAATTTCAACTTTTTTTTATAAGTTATACTAGATTCAACTTGATTTTTTAAGTCAGTTTAATGTTACTGAAATTCAAGGAGCCCAATTTAGTTCAGTAAACATTTTTAGTTGTAGCTTATTGACACTAACTCTGAACATGGATTCATGCGCAGGAGTCAAATTTGTACATGAATTTAATATCAGTCCTTTTCAAGAAAAAAAAAATTCAGCAAATCTAGACATTAGACTCATGTTTGAAACATGAGACATCGCAGTGCAACATCAAACAAGGAGACATGGGCAGACTATACAGCAAACTAACTAAATCGCGGAGGAACTTCAGACGAACAACTCATGAACTTGAGGAAGCTGTCCGTTGGGCTGGCGCGAAGAAGCATATTCAACGTGGATGAGGTGAATGAATGCTTGTGTAACATACTTTTTGGGAGATTATTGTTCATTTTAGCAGAATAGAGCAGAATTAGTTATGTTTTGTCATTGCTTTCTGAACTGTGTTCAATTTGAGTGATTATAGGTGTCACGAATTCGGTCCATGGACTTCCGTTTATTCACCACCAGAGGTCACCCTTTCCTTGACTCTCGCACAACACAAACTGTTGCATAGCACCCCGGACTACATATCCCATCATTCATTGCACGGTTTGCACACTGCACTGACTGCACTCATTGCACACAGCTGTTTCTAATCACCTCACTCACTATATAACACCCACTCTAACCACCTTTCTGTGCTGAGTATTGTTTAGCCTGTACCCCTTTCCGAGTCTCCGTGTTTTCCTTGTTTTGCCTTGCCTGTTTTTGCGGTTTCTGATCTTTGCCTGTTTTCCTGGATTTCTCCCTCTCGTCTCGCCCCTGTGATTCTGTCTGCCGATCGGTGACCTACGCTAGCCCTAGGACTATTCTTGTGTTTTTGCCCGCCATATACCTGTTTGCCATTGTTCGACCCTGCCTGTTATACCACGTCTCTTTAAATAAAGCTTGCAGATGGATCCACACGTCTCACGTCTCGTCAGCCCCGTTACAATAGGTGTATTTTACCGTTAAAGTGGGTAACAGTTGGCTTTGCTGAGCAGGCTCGGCATTTTCACGCCCACTGGAAGTTTATCACAGTCAGTCTGGCTTCGTGCGTTTGAGTTGGTATTCGTTATTGTTTAATTTTTTTTTTTTTATCAATCGTTCAAGCTAGGATAATATAAGTTAACTTGAGGTAGACGACGCCCGAGCTGTTTTCTATGACGCATGAACTAAAGGTCACCAGTTTTGTCAGTTTGTTCTATTCAAACTAGATGAACATATGAAACTTCTTAATATGATTTAAGAGACCACGAATTGTTAACCTTGTTCATTTGTGACTACTTTTTTAGAAAGACGTTGTTAAACGTTACACTCAGCTGGACGCACTGTAGGCCTAACGTTACATCTGTTCCTCACAAGCTCGTTTTCTGTGCCATTTGTTATTTTATTGGCCATCATCATATATTTTATATATTATTTAGTTTTACGATTGCAAATTGCTTACTGGTAACAGATTACAGGTAACAGTAAATCCAAACAAATGTATTATGTTTCGTTATGCATTATGAATCGGTCATATTTTAATCATGAACAAAAAGTCTGTAAAAGTGTTGTGTAACTTACATCTTTGGAATTAACTGTGATTAGCAAGTAACCAACAAATCCCCGTTTACCTCCCTTTGTAGGCTATGACTGAGCACATTACAGTGAGGATCACCATCCATCTTAATATTTTGATTTTAGGCAACTCAGGTTATTAAAGGGTTATGAGGCTGTTGTATAGGAAATGTCTTTGCTTGTGTGTGTTGTTTACAAGTAAATTTAAGTTGAATAATCTTTTTTTTTTTTACAGGCACACGCTTGTGAGTCTGAGACTGGATGAAGGGTGAGTTTTGCATTTCTGTACCAAATAAAGAGTATAAACTATATCTTAAGATAAGTCAATATTTGACCCACTTTAAAGTTGTTGTTTTTTTTCCTCCCTACATAATTTTTATTTATAATTTTTTTTTACAGGCATTGTTTGTGAGTCTAAGACTGGATGAGGGGTAAGTTTTGCATTTATGTACTAAATAAATAATATAAACCATATCTTAAGATAAGTCAATATTTGAACCACTTTAAAGTTGTTGTTTTTTTCCCCCTTACATATGTTTTTTTATAGGCAAACATTTGACTGTGAGTCTGAGACTTAATGAAGGGTAAGTTTTGCATTTATGTACTAAATAAATAATATAAACCATATCTTAAGATAAGTCAATATTTGAACCACTTTAAAGTTGTTGTTTTTTTCCCCCTTACATATGTTTTTTTATAGGCAAACATTTGACTGTGAGTCTGAGACTTAATGAAGGGTAAGTTTTGCATTTATGTACTAAATAAATAATATAAACCATATCTTAAGATAAGTCAATATTTGAACCACTTTAAAGTTGTTGTTTTTTTCCCCCTTACATATGTTTTTTTATAGGCAAACATTTGACTGTGAGTCTGAGACTTAATGAAGGGTAAGTTTTGCATTTATGTACTAAATAAATAATATAAACTGTATCTTAAGATAAGCCAACATTTCAACGACTTCTACTTTTTCCCCTACATTTCTATCATTAGATAATTAGACAGCTTAGTTCGATCGGTGTCTGGGTCATAGGGTGGAAGATGTAGGCGCGAGGAAACGATTTTGCTGCGATTGGAGATGCAGATCCACCGGTCAGTGTGGTTAGGCCTATTAAACGGATAGTTCACCCAAAAATGAAAATTCGGTCATTAATTACTCACTCTCATGTCGTTCCACACCTGTAAGACCTTTGTTCATCTTCAGAACACAAACTAAAATATTTTTGATGAAATCCGAGGGCTTTCTGTTCCCCCATTGGCAGCAACGCAACTAAAACATTCAAGGTCCAGAACGGTAGGAAAGACATCATTAAAGTAATCCATGTGACTCCTGTGGTTTAACCTCAATTTTATGAAGGAACACGAGTGCTGTTTGTCCAAAAGAAATTATTATTTACCACTTTATTTACAATAAAATATTATTCAAAGCTTGTTCATGCTACAATGTTAACTCTGGCGTGAACACAATATATATGCATCATGATGCTCTTATGAGCGTGTGTGGCAGATCAATATTTTTAGAAAATAAAACGGTAAAATGTGTTTTTTGCACAAACAAAGCACGTGTATTGCTTCATAAAATTGAGGTTAAACCACAGGAGTCACATGGATTACTTTAATGATGTCTTTCTACCGTTCTGGACCTTGAATGTTTTAGTTGCGTTGCTGCCAATGGAGGGTCAGAAAGTATCGAATTTCATCAAAAATATCCTAATTTGTGTTCTGAAGATGAACAAGGTCTTAGGGGTTTGAAATTATATGAGGGTGAGTAATTGATGACAGAATTTTCATTTTTGGTTGAGCAAACCCTTTATGACATTGTATGTGTATTTACACAGTTTTTGTTTTGTCTGTTGCC